TTGTGCTTTGCTGCAAGACAGGGATAAGCTAGGTGAGTGACTTCTCTGTGAGCAGAAAGCGTGGCTGTGGCAGGTGGCCATGCATTTCCAAACGAGTACCTCCACACAGGGAGGTACCAGCTGGTGTGTAGGGACGAGAAGTGTGCATCAGAGTCTTCTTCTGACTTATGGTGCTGATGTTGGATGAGTAGGAGATGCTGTGTTTCTGACACTTCTGTTTGGTCATCCATAAGATGGGTATCTTCGTGGCCTCTTCATTTGAGATTTATAAATTACGTGTGTGATGTGTCAGCTTGACCCACCATGCATTTTCAGTCAGAGCAGGGACAATGGATGAGGCTAGTGAAGGAGATTGGGATTTGAAGACATTCCAAGCTCTGCTAAAGAATTTTGACTGAATTTATGAGCCAGGATGGCGGAGACAAGATGTGCATGCCACCACACCTCAGCTTGTGCCCATGGTAGGCATCACCAATCAATGCCTGCACTCCTTCCTCCTGGAGCCCAAATGCCTTCTCAAGGCAGTGCTCCCTGAACAGCCACTGTGAACTGATTAGCACTGGCAAGTCAGATGAACCTATTTCCTGTTTCTAGTGGAGTTTGTGGAGAGTCAACAAATGTTTTCAAAGAGGATTGGCGCATGATGCTAATGAAGTGCAGGTAGGTAGCTCAAAGTCAAATATATTGGAGGGGGATAAAAAAACCAAACCACTGATGGTGATGATGGTGGTGAGGTGATGGACCACACTCCTGGTGCTTCAACTGACATCATATCATAGCCACCAGGCTGCCCTGGGCAGAGTCATCAGGTGACGGGCCCTAGGAAAAATACAGCCCATGGCCTTTTCTGTCTGGCCAGCACCGTACTTTAGAAATACGAATATCAAGAAAAACCTGTTGCTGTCAAGTCGACTCCGACTCAGCAATCCTACAGGACAGAGCAGAACTGCCCCCTAGGGTTTCCAAGGCTGCAATCTTTATGGAAGCAGACTGTCACATCTTTCTCCTGGAGAGCCGCTGTGTGCTTTGAACTGCTGAGCTTTCAGTTAGCAGCCAAGTGCTTCATCACGGTGCCGCCAGACCTCTCTTTCTCTCTCCTTCCTCTGAGAATATGCTTATCCTACCAAAATGCTTTTCTTTTATGTTACTCATTTATATGTGAGCCTTCAGGTCCTACGCTGGTGGCTGCAGCGTCCAGGCCGGCCGCGCCTCATTTAACAGACTTCTCTCCAGCAGGTTCAATGTTCCTGGTTAGAGCTGCTGCAGGGAGCAGGGCGGCACCATATGCTGGGCTTTCATCAGATAAGCCGTTTCTAATCCTTCCTGGGGCTGCGCTCGAGGAAGGCCAAGTGCCTGGATCTTCTCCTAAGCTAAAGAGTGTGTTGGCCCTTCTGTAATCTCCCGAGTCAAGGGATGAAATGCTAAAGTGACAACGTCCCACAAAAAACATGTGCTGAACTTTGCCCCGCGTCCTCATCTGTGCCCGGTTTGCTGATGTGTTCTTGATAAGGAGCAGGATTTGGTCGCACTTCTCTACAAATACAGAATCAAACTGTGTTGACTGTGATTTGGGCTTCTTCCCCTGGGAACAAAGGCTTAGAGTTTCTTATTTTCTCTAGAGATGACCCAGCAAGTGGGGGCATGGGGCAGCTTCGAATGGGAAGTGGAGGCCAGATGGAGGGGATGTCGGGGAGCCCTGTTGGGAAAAGGATGTTCCAGGCATTGGGAATCAAGACTCCCTTTGGGAGTCAGTCTGGCCTGACAAACTCAGCGGTGAAGCCTGGCCCCCATATGTGCTTCTTGTCCTGTTAATCACTGTATATTGTAACGGTTTGTGTTCAAGTCTGTCTCCTCCACTCAGCTGGGACTCTGTGATTTGCTTTGTGTCCTCTGGGTCCTGTAACATCACAGCTCTGTGCTTCTAAGGTGAGGACTTGTCCTCTCTGGGCTGCACCCCTACAATCCAGGCACAGATGGGGCAGCTCAGGGTCTCCTTCAGCACCCAGACTGGAAAGTTCTGTGAGGAAGGAGAACATGGTGGAGATGGGGGAAGGAAGCGCAGTGGTCTCTGTGCTGTCCGCATGGGCTCTGAACTCTACACTTGCTGTGAGGCCCAGTCAAGTCCCTGAACACCCCTAGACTCATGCCTGCTCCCCCTGTGGGGTGCACACCTGCCTCAAGAGAAAGGTTCCAATGAGAACGCTGCAGTGGACGCATAGCGAGTTCCAGCCACACCTTCTCCTGGGTTCCGATGATTGCCACTTCCTGCCAGTTCTTGCCCGCAGTGCAGACCCCTGCTGCCCTACATTTGTGCAAAGTTCTGGTTCCTCCCTGCCTACTCCTACATACCCCAATCTCACCTGATAGCCACATTTTTTTGTTTTAGTCTTGAAAATAATTTTATTATAAATATTTCAAACATATAGTATGGAGAACAACATAATGTACCCCCATAAACCTATCAACCATACATCTCTAACGCAATGTTTATCAAGATTTGTCCACACCAGTGATCTGTTCCCTTTTCCTTTTTTTTTTTTTCATTTTTATTGTGATTTGGGTGAAAGTTTACAGAGCAAATTCACTTTCCATACAGCAGTTCACATACACTTTGTCTCATGACATTGACTACAATTTACCCCAATGCAACAGCTCCCCTCCCACTTCCTCCTGATAGTTACCTCTTCCTTGTTTCCATCCCTCTATGCACTCCTGCCCCCTGAGCTGTCTCCCTGTGCATAAACAGCCCTTCTTTCTCCCATGATTGTTCTCTCCAAGGAGTATACCTCAGGTAAATGTTCAACTCATGCCTGTCTTTTGTTTTTCTGGAAGCCACAGGTGTGGGTTCAATTCCAGACCTGAAGGGCAGCTAGCGGCCATAGTCTCAGGGGTTCCACCAGGCTCTATCAGATCAGCAACCTGATATCCCTCCCCCTTTTTTTTCCAAATGATTTTGAGTTCTGTTCCACATTGTTTTCTGTGTCTATCCAGGATCTCCTACATAGATCCACCTCCAAGTGGTTGACAGTGGTAGCCAGGCACCATCTAGTTCTTCTGGTCTTATAATTGTATAGGCTGTGGATCGCGTGGTGTACCAGTCACTAGGACTAATTGTTTCTATGAATCCTTGATTTTCTTCATTCTTCTTTGCTCCAGACAAGGAAAGACCCATCATTGCATCTAGATGGCTGCTTGCAAGCTTTTAAGATCCCAGTCCCTATTCACCAAAGTAGGAGGTGGAACAATGTTTGATCTAGTATGTTATCCCAATTGAGCTTGATGGCCCCTGTGACTTGGTCCTGAGCCCACCAGTTCAACTACTCGCTCCCTCTGGGTAGCTGGCTGTGACCAAGAAGTAACTATAATTTTGTCCCTTGTCAACTCTAGCATACACCTGGGAATTCTTACAGAATATGCAAATACATTTGTAGAACCATTGTCTACCAATCCTATACATGGTCTTGGGTACACTTCCTACCACATAGACAGACCTAATAGTTCAGCCTGTCCACCCATCTATCCACCCATATACCCGTGCTTGCCTTCACTGATAATGCAGTACTGTATGTGCAAAGAGGTTCATCTTTGTTGTCTGCACCTCCCATGTACCTCTCTATATCTTCCTCTTCCTTAATGCCACCATGTTGATCACTCACATTTGGTACATTGCCCTTCTCTTCACCCAAATCAATACTTATCTTTACCTATCTAACAGTGTTCCCTCCCTTCCCACCTAATACCAGTGTGAGTCACATTCATCCCACCATCAGAACCAACACCTAGATTTGGAAATCTTGCCACTCTTTCTGTACATAAGCAGTAAAAGGCCTTTCAGGGACACTGAATTCCTTCAGAGGACATGTAGGCTTAGGGCTTTGTCCATCTTCAGTAACGGTGACATAGCCTGTGTGGAAAAAATGTAAGAAGGTGAGAGATCTTGTCAATTCTGTCTGTTGTCTATTGTTTGACTGCTTTGCCCTAAGAGATATATAATGTATTTTTTGTTTGTTTGTTTTTCTTTAAAGTGGGTTCCCCTCACCAGGCCCATCATTGCATCCCATTTCCCTCACCATGTGACATGCTTCTGGCCAATGAGGTGTGAGGAGTCCTCTGGAGGCTTCTTGGAAAAGTCTCCTTGCTTTAACAGGGGACACAGGCCATGGTGTCCCCCATCTCACACTGGAGGTGGGCACGCTGGACGTGACACTTTGTGTCCTCTGCATGTGACATGGTCCTTGTGCTCTCCTTCCTCTTTCGACCCAGACATACGTGTGACATTCTCCTGATGGTCCACTGGAGGAAATCATTAATGCCTGGTTTGCTTATTGAGAAGGCGTGGAGTGAGATGGGGGCTCCAACTGCCCAACGCTTCCCCTACTAATGTGTGCAGCCCAGTTGCTGATGCAGAAGACCATAATTAAGTGCTCTGTCCTCACCTCGCTTCTGCAAAACTGTAGTTTAATGGGGCAAAAATGATTACACCACGTTTCCAGTGCATTTCATGAGCATTTTATCCACCAAGATTTTAATCTACTACACAGCTCTCTTGATTTCTCAGAAAGGATCCTCTTTATATCTAGAATAAAATGATTGTTTGGTAACATATGGCCACCTTTTATGCATCTTCAAATGCGGTGCAAGAGTGAACTATGATGCACCTGGGGTTTGATTAGTGGAAAGATGAGTACATAAAAAAAAGGTAAGCTAAAGGAAAAAAAAAACCACACAAAGAAGGCAACAGAGGTTATGTAACTTCATTAAATTATGTTTATGGTTTTACTTGTCAGTATTTTGTAATACAGAATGGCTTTCCTGGAGTCCATTTATCAGTATTTGCCACTAATTAGTGCCTACAAATTACCTTCTGTGTAAGCCATGTTGTTCTGGTTGTCTCAGAGTCTAATAAATCAGGGCTGTTGCAGTTCATGAACTCGTTGCTGTGGGTTTGCTGCTGGTGTTTTTCCTGCTGATGCATCTCCAGATTCCACCTCTCCCCCAAGGTTTCCAACAACTGTGATTCCATTTTTGTGAATGGGAAGGAGATGAAGAGCAGAGTGGACACGATTGTGAACTTCACCCACCAGCACTTCACCTCCCAGTTAGAAGTCACCGTATGGGTGCCCAGACTCCCTCTGCAGATTGAGATCTCAGACACGGAACTGAGCCAGATCAAGGGCTGGAGGATCCCAGTGGCCCCCAACAGAAGGTGAGGTGTCGAGGGTGAGAGTGGCTCTCAGGGAGAGGACTGTGGATCGGATGTTACGGGGGCCCAGATCTTTGTGTAATGGTGGTAGCACTGATTCTCAGCATCCCAGGGCCTGATGGAGCAACATCCACTGAGGGTGATGATGGTCTGCTCTTGGGGTTCAGGTGGATCTGACCCTGCTACTGACTCGTGCTTTGACATGAGACAGTCATTATGGAGATACTAACAGTACCCACCTCATAGGGTAGTTATTAGATTAAATAATACAGAAGCACACCTTATAAAGGCCTGGAATTTAGGGTGCAATTATTTTTCATTTCCCATTTCCCTACTGCTCGTTCCTACATCATTCTCACTTCCCCTGCCTGTGAATGTCAGCTAATATCCATGAAGTGGAGTGAAATGGTTAAGAATGTAGACTCTGCAACAAAGCTACCCTGTCTTTAACCTATGAAGCTCTGGTGGCATAGCGGTTGAAGCATCTGGCTGCTAACAGAAAGGTCAGTGCTTTGAACCCACCAGCCACTACATGGTAGAAAGATGAAGCAGTCTGCCTCCATAAAGATTGATAGCCTTGCTGTCTCTCTGGGGCAGTTCTATGTCCTGTGGGTTGCAATGAATGGGAATCAACTTGATGGCAGTGGCTTTTTCTTTTTCTTTTTTGTACCTTTAGCCTAGGTTTTGCCACTGATGGTTAAGTGACCATGGACAAATTACTTAACCTCTCTATTCCTCAGTTTCTTCATCTACAAATTGGGGATGATAAATATTACTGGGTAGAGCTATCCCCAAAATTCAATGAATAACACATATTGTAGTCAGAATTATAAAGAAGGCTCTCCAAGATTATCATCTCTGGTTATCCAGTCAAAAACCAACCTGATACTGCCATGGAAAGATTTTGCAGATATAAATAAAATCCCAAGTCATTCAGTTTTAAGAAATGGAGATTATCCAGGTGGCTGTAACCCATCTCTGAACAGTTTAAAAGCAGAGAGTTTTTTCCAGCAGGTAGAAAGGTAGAAAGAGTGTAGGGTTGGAAAAGTATTTGAAGAAATGATTAATGAAAGTGTCCCAAATTTGATGAAAGATAGTGTCTAAGGCACTTGACTGCTAACCAGAAGGCTGGCAGTTCAAACCCACCAGCCACTCCTCAGAAGGAAGATTGGGCAATCTACTTCCATAGTTTCCACCTTGGAAACTCAAGGAGGGGTCGCTATGAGTCGGGTCCAACCCGATGGCACATAACAACAACAACAACACACATCCAAGAAGTTGAGGAAATACAAAAAAGGACACTTAAAAAAAATCCATATCAAGAGACAAACTTCTGAAAACTAAAAGTAAATTTAAAAAACCTTAAAGGCATCCGAAGAAATGACATATCAGGTAAATTAGATGTAAGAGCAAAGAAATTTACTAAGGACAAAAAGTGGCATTACATTATGATAGACTTATAGAAAATATCCCTTTGAATGACATTGAATTTCTCACCTGAAACTATGGAGGCCAGAAGGAAATGGTACCATATTTTTCAAGGGCTGAAAGAAGAGAACTGTCCATTGCAAATTCGGTATCTGGTGAAAGTATTTTTTAGGAATGAAGGGGGAATAAAGATATTCTTAGATGAAGAACAAATAAGAAAATATGTTTCCGGCAGACCCACCCTTAAAAGGAACCCCTACGGAAGTTCTGTAACAGACAGCAAATGAGTACAAGTGCAGATTTAGAACTTTAGAAATGAAACGAGGGTAATTGAAAAGTAAAGTAGAGATTAATGTAATGAATTCTTCTCACTAATTTCCAAAACAGTATGTGATGGTTGAAGCAAACATGATAGCATCATCTGATGTAGTTCTTAAAGTATACAGGGGAAATACTTAAAACAATTATATTTTCAACAAAAGTACAAAGGGACATAAATGGAAATGAGGCACTGGCATCTCACTCTCGGCGGTGCGACATTGACATCAGTACGCTGTGATGAGTGATGCTGTGTGTTGTAATACCTTGAACAACTACTAAAAAACTACAACCAAAAAGCTAAACTGAGTGCCATCCCAGAGTCGCATCACATCTGAAGAACTGGCTTCGTGACTGTTAACAGCAGTGATGCTCACTGTGTTCTGTTTGCTTGTGCTCCAGACCCACCCGGGAGAGTGAGGATGAGGAAGACGAGGAGAAGAGAGGCAGAGGGTGCTCTCTCCAGTACCAGCACGCCACGGTCCGGGTCCTGACCCAGTTTGTAGCCGAGTCTCCTGAGATGGGTCAGCTGACCTACATGCTGGGCCCCGACTGGCAGTTTGACATCACGGAGCTGGTGACCAATGTCATGAAGGTGGAGGAGCCGAAAATCGCAAAGTTGCAGGATGGCAGGACCCTGGTGGGTCGGGAGCCAGGAATAACCACTGTGCAGGTAGAGTCCACCCACTGCTTGCCACTTGCCCTAACTAACTTGTGTTCATGAGCATGCCGGCAAATGTTTCTGTGGAGAGTTGTGTGTGAGTGTACATTCATGTTTATGTTTGCATGTGTGTGTATGTATGAGTGTGGGTGCCTATGTGTGCATGTGTGGGGCCCACTTGGGCTCCTATATGTGGGCTTTGGGGAAGACTTTGCTTCCAAGCTCATTCAGGCTGCTGGCAAAATTCAGTTTCCTACGTCTGAAAGACTGAGGTCTCCATTTCTTTACTGGCTTTTAGCTAGGGTGCACTCTGTGCTCCTAGAGGCCACCCACATTCCTTCTGATGTGGCCCCTCCATCCTCATGTTTAAACTGAATTATCACATCCTTCTCATCAAGACCCCCCTCTGCCACCAGTTAGAGAAAGTGCTCTGCTTTTGATGCTCATGTCACTACATTGGGCCCATCTGAATAATCAAAGCTAATTACCTTAAGTTAAGGGCAGCTGTGCCACCACAGAACATACCGTAATCGGGGGAGTGATTTCTCATTGATTTGCACGTTCTGGGGCATCTTTAAGGAGCCCTTGTGGTATAGTTTGGTGGTTCCACTCTGTGGAAGCAAGACTGGACAATCTACTTCCATAAAGATTTACCACCTTGGAAACCCAATAGAGGTCACTATGAGTCAGAATTGACTTGATGGCAGTGGGTTTGGGTTTTGTGTGTGTGTGCATCTGTATGGCATAGTGGTTAAGTCCTGAGCTGCTAACTAAAAAGTCAGCAGTTCAAACCCACCAGCTCACTCCACAGGAGCAAGATGTGCCAGTCTGCTTCTGTAAAATGTATACCCTTGGAAACCCTATGGGGCAATTTAATCCTGCCCTAGAGGGCTGCTATGAGGCAGAATCAGCTCAATGGCAATGGTTCTCATTTGGTTCTGGGGCATCTCTGGGAGGTGACATTCTAGAAATTTTGCCTACGCATGTTCCTCTCCAGGTGTTAGTCACCTCTGGCTGCAAATTAGGTTAGTTAGGAAGGATGGCTTGATAGCACATTCAGCTTGTCTTTCCCACTCTGTTAAACTGGTGTATCCATTGATGGCAAACAGCCCCCATGATGACCGATACTGGCCCGTAATGAACATCTCACTGCCCATGGGAAAGGGTGTGAGTAGCAGGAGGTAACGGAGCACCATTCCTTTAAACACTTTTCCTCAAGTTGGCTGTTTCTGGAGCATAAATATGAGCTGTTGAGAAAACATTACTGCTTGAGTGCTCAGGGCCAAGATGAACAGCATTTCATTGTTGTCCCTAAATTAAATCAGAAAATACACTGCTAATAATAGCGTATGAATCAAAGGAAAGAAAATGACCAGGGTGATCTTTGTAAAATTCCTCATTCGATTGGCCCTTGTGATTGAATGAACAGTGGCTCAGCACATGTCTGAACCGTTCTGTAAGTGCATTCCTTTAGCAGAGAATTAGAGAACGCTTTGGTGGAAACATCGGTTAAGGAGTTTAAAATGGTTACGTGGAACAGAGACACGAGTATTCTCCTTATCTTTGAAGGTCCTCTCGCCTCTCTCTGACTCCATCCTGGCGGAGAAGACAGTTATCGTCCTAGATGACCGTGTCACCATTGCAGACCTAGGCATACAGCTGGTGGCTGGCTTGTCCCTCTCCCTACAGCCTCACAGGGCAGACAGGAGAGCCATCGTCTCAACAGTGGCTGCCCAGGATGTCCTTCAAGCCCCACGGCAGGTGAGATTCCCAGGGTCGCTTGTGTCTGTGGGTACCTGAGATGCCTTCTCTCTCAGTTATCATGTCCAGCAAAGGAGATCAGGAGAGATTGCATCTGGGCCTGGTGGTTCTTGAAGCTTCTTCCTGCTTCTTGTCCAGTCTGCCTTGTCTGAGAAAAGTGCTCAGTGTCTGGAGTAAAGTTTCCACTTATATTTGGGCAGATCACATATCCAGAGGCCGTTTGCTCTCCAGTGGGCTTCTGTTTGCCAGGCATGCTGCTAGACCATGACCAGAGGATGGTCACATGTATCCACTTTTACCAAACCAGGTGGCTTTTGAGACCTGGAAATTCCATCTTACTTACTTGAACAAGCAGGGTTAATAGGCACCAAAACTGTTTGCTGCAACTGTTGTCAGCTCTAAAACTCTCCTCCATCAACTCATTTTATAGATACATGCATCTTCTCCAAGTGCTTCCACCATGTTTTGATTCATTAGAGCTTCTTAATAAAGAGTGTTCAAAGTGATCTTATCTTGAACAGTAGCCTGATCAGTTGTACTGGGAATTGATTCAGATAAATTGCCTGGTCTTTCAACTGTTTTTGGAAGGGCCAAAGTGAAATTCTGTTTTATGGCATAGAATAAATTAATATATACCTCAATGCATTCATTAAAGCATATTATTTGTTCCTCATGCCAGTGGGGCCATGAGTTTTATTGATGCTGCTTCAAGGCATGTCAGAAACCGTTCAAGAGAATAAAGCATGAGACTTCCTTTTTCCCTGTCTGTATACTTAAAGAATATTATCTAGGAAATCATATTTATGTATTTATGTGTGTAAATTTGATGGAACCTGATTATAACTTAATGCTTTGGTTTCATTTTTCTTAGGAAGCAATAGTCAGTTCTTGGATTTTATTCAGTGATGGTTCAGTGACACCTTTTGACATTTATGATCCCAAGGATTTTTCAGTTACTGTCTCATCTTTGGATGAAATGGTGGTGTCTGTCCAACCAAACCTTCAGTCCAAGTGGCCAGTTGTAGTTGCAGAGGGTGAAGGGCAAGGACCCTTGATTAAGTTAGAAATGATGATAAGTGAACCTTGTCAGAAGACCAAGAGAAAGAGTATTCTCGCCGTGGGGAAAGGAAACGTTAAAGTCAAATTTGAAGCAAATATTGATGAGCACCACGGAGGCACCAATGACATTGAGGGCATAAATCGGGAATTTAAAGACCACCTCAGCAATTCCATAGAGCGGGAAGGAAACCAGGAGAGGGCAGTTCAGGAGTGGTTCCAGCATGGCGTGTCTGTTGGCCAAGAGGAGGGTACCAACAAAAGCACAACCCCGCAGTCTCCCAGGGGAGGAAAGGATAAGAAGTTACTCAAGAGCGGTGGTCCAGACGCCTTCACCAGCTTCCCCACTCGAGGGAAGTTCCCAGAACCCAACAATCCCAGTGACCTCACAGTGACCTCCAGAGGGCTAACCGACCTGGAGATCGGCATGTATGCCCTGCTCTGTGTCTTCTGTCTGGCCATTTTGGTCTTCTTAATCAACTGTGTGGCATTTGCTTGGAAATACAGGCACAAAAGGTTTGCTGTGAGCGAGCAAGGCAACATCCCCCATTCCCACGACTGGGTCTGGCTTGGGAATGAAGTGGAACTTTTGGAGAACCCCGTTGACATCACACTCCCGTCGGAGGAGTGCACGACCATGATAGACAGGGGGCTGCAGTTCGAGGAGAGGAACTTCCTTCTGAATGGCAGCTCCCAGAAGACTTTCCACAGCCAACTCCTCAGACCTTCAGACTATGTCTATGAGAAAGAGCTGAAAAACGAAGCTATCAGTTCTTCGGGCCCAAAGAGGAAGAGAGTCAAGTTTACTTCCTACACTACCATTCTCCCGGAGGATGGTGGCCCGTACACCAACTCCATCCTGTTTGACAGTGATGACAACATTAAGTGGGTTTGCCAAGACATGGGACTGGGGGACTCCCAGGAGTTTAGAGACTACATGGAAAGGCTGCAAGACCAGTTGTGAACTCCTTTCTTATGTTTGTATTCACCTTATGCCTTCTGTTTTCTGAGTGGTGGAGCAGTGAGGCTGATCAGCAATAGGGGTGAGGTAACCAAACTGAGTTTGTGGCGGTCTGGTGGGATCCCTTTCCGAGCAAGTAACGGAGGTCAGGAGAGCTAACACATCTGGGTGATAAGTTGGAAAGTGCCATACAACAGCCCACATGTAAGTACAGGGGAAATTCTAAGACACCTGTTTTACATCCTGCTTGGTACTAGCTCAGTGCAAATACAATAAGCCTGACCCCACAGACAGACAGACATTGTTGGTCGTCTCGTGATGAACAGCCGTTTGGAATGAGGAAAGATTTGGGTGTCGATTTTTCTATTCCTACACCGTTTAAAGCACAGTGGACCTTCCTTGCCCTTGGCCTGAGATTTGACCTTTGTGAAAGGTAACTGAATGTAGCTCCTTATTTCTTATGAGCACTGCTCGTTATTTTTATATACATTTGCGCCTGCACCTGGTTCCTTTGACCTATGGTATTCTTTTTGAAACATGAAGAGAAGAAATGTCACTGTTTCCTTTGAGATCTGTTTGATTTTCCTGAGTTCCGTTCACTGGGATTTGCCGTGTCATGTTACTTCCTGGGTGTCTGTACACAATGTCGGTTTTTCTCCAGTTTTCCACCATTCTGTGTGCAGGTACGTAGCTACCAGGCTGATCCTCGCCCCGTGATTCTGTCTTTTCCTTGTTGAACTTTCTTGTATGAGACTTGGACAAAGGGTTTTACCTAAAATATGCATCTGCTGCGAGAGAGGACCATGTCTTTACAGTTTTCTACATGGAGCTTGAAAATTTTGGAGAAAAATGGTGAATCACAAACAGTTTTATTTTTATCCCCTTTTTGTTGGAGGCTCGTGGGGAACTCCCGGAGGGCCATTTCTGAGGCAGAAAGCCTCAAACGAGCTGAGTTTGTACCCGGGCGTTGTGGGTAGTACACTTTATTATCCAAGCTTGAAGCTGAGAGTAGACTTGACACAGAGAGAGACAGTTGCCTAGGAAACTAGCTACAGGTTATACTTCCCATTTCACCAGAACAAAAAAATTTAAAAAAGTAAGTAGAATTATGTTTCAATTTAAGAGTATATAGAAATCCATCTGTACAATGGCCCCCTCCCAAAAAAAGTCCTCAGTCATGATTCTGGCTGAAATAAACCTTCATAGGGTGTGCGCTGATGGGAGAAAGCAATGGGTTTCTCCAAAAAAAAAAAAAAAAAGAAAATTCATGGAAAGAAACAACTGTTCCAGAAAGCAACAAGCAGTTGTTACGAAAAATGTGATTGGGGAAACAAAGTGGCGAGAAGGGGTGGGGGAAGGAATCAAAAATCAGCACCCCTGTATAATTTTTAAAGAGAAAGTGTTATTTAGAGAACAGCATGAACGACCTCAAGCAAAGCAAGAGTTGCAGATCAGGAAATGTGACAGCAGTTTTATTTATTAAGATGGGGCAGCTAGGAAAACAAGCGGTGGACCCAAATGGCTCAAGGTGAGTTTGTGGGGCCATTTGCATCTCTACGAAATAGGATTTTAAGAATTAAGAGTAGGAAGGATCTGCAGGAGGTGCTGGAAAGCAGGTTCATAGCCTCCTATGACTACTGAGAAGCTAGTCAGAAGCTGTTCCGTTAAGACATTCTTGCCTCCTGTGAATGGGGCACCACAGCCCAGCCCCTCTGGGGTCCCAGTGCATTGGCAGTCCCAAAGCTCTTCCTCTGTGCACCTCCTGCCCATAGGACCCCACTGTGTTTGTCAACAGTACAGCTGAAGGGGTCCTGACCTCTAGGGGCAGGTATTCAGAGAGCCCAGCAGCTGTGAAAATGGGGAGTAGGAACTAAAGCTGCTAAAGTTTCGAGATCTTTCCTTGTGTGCAGAGAGTGAAACCAAGAGACCCAAGGCAATGGCTGCCAAATGAATTTGCAGAGGGATGACCAGCACCTTGTAGGAAGAGCTCCTCAGGTGGCCAAGGGTAGCCCACTGCTTTTCAGAGGGTTTGGTGAGATGTAGCCTAATCCAAGTGCGTGGGGCTACAGGGCTGTCACATGCTCATTCGAGCACGGTTCCCAAGACCTGCGCCTGCTGCCTGATGACCTCGGTTCATTCTCCATGAGGATCCTCAACGTGGCAGACATCGTGGAGCCTCGGTTCTGAAAGGGGGGATCCCAATGGAAATACAGCGAGTCACGCTGCAGGCTGCCTCCTACTTGCCAAGGGACACTTTGTGTAGGGCATCATTTTGTGAGGAAGGCAAATGAGTGTTACTAAGGAGGCCGATGACAGCATTTCCTGTGACATGGGTGTGTGACGTGATGCGGGGAGCAAGTCAGGAGTGTTAGAGTGTGGCCATGGTTTCTGAGCCAAGCTGGAGACCGCTGCCCTGAAGACACCTCTTGGGCATAAGTTAGTGTCACTCAGAGTGACAACTTCAGTGCAGTCAGTCACTGTGCCTGTACATGTTAAAACTCAGTCCATTCCAAAGGAAATGCAAATGGAAGGGCTGGGGGGTGGAGTCCCTTTTACCACACAGCACACGCACACATATAGATGTGTGTGCGTGTGTGTGTGTGCGTGTGTGGTGTGCACACCCAAGAGCCAGAGAACAAGATGTTTACAGGGAATCCACAGTGACTTTCAATGACTCTTAGACTTGTCATGGTCACTATTCAGTGTACGGTAATGTCACTGATTTAAAATATTTCCTGCTGATTAGAAAGGGCTGTGTCAGCTTGTTTCCCAACCAGCAACTTTAAACTAACAGGCCCCAAAATATCTAAGCTAAGATGTGGAAAATACATTATTAAGCCTTGAGATCCAGTTCTTTGGAGGCCCATGCATTTGCCTGAATTTTCCAGGTTTCTGTGGCTGAGATATCCAAGTTACTGTTGTTGTTGTTGTTGTTATGTGCCGTCGAGTCGGCCCCGACTCATAGCGACCCCTCCTTGGGTTTCCGAGGCAGTATCACTACGGAAGTAGGATTGCCCAACCTTCCTTCCGAGGAGTGGCTGGTGGGTTTGAACCGCCAGCCGTCTGGTTAGCAGGCAAGTGTCTTAGCCACTATGCTACCAGAGCTCCCTCCAAGTTACTGGTCTGAGTCGATAGTTTGAACTAAAGCCCGTTTATGAAGGCCCTTCCTTGTCCATAACAACAGAGCTCCTAGACTCTTCCTGAGGCAGCACCAACCTCTGGAGAGATGCCAGGCCGTGAACTCCCTGGGTCACATGAGAAGAGGTTCAGCCGTGACATGAGGACCACATGGCCTGAGCCACCTGAGACAGGAATGATGGCTCCCCGGGTCCCAACAGAAGCCTCACCACAGGGACCAAGGAGCAGCCGGCCTACGCAAGAATGGAACTTCAACTCATAGGTGCAGTGCATCTGAGAGGAAGCAAGAGGAAGCCGCTCAGTTTTCCCTGAAGACCACCTCCTAGCGAGCACGAGAACACTGTACCGTGAAGGGAAAGTTGATTCCTAGCTGTCTTATATTGCACACCACCAGGGTAAGTTCCCAGACAATAATGATCTTTAACATCTAGCCAGGACATTTCTGTTGGAAAACACCAATGCAGGGGAAAGATGTATTATTTTTTTTTAGTCCATCTGTACCTTGATACTGTTGAAGTTTTGGAAAGGCTGCCTTGGTGCACTTTGGTCAGCATCCTTGCTTAACTCTTTCAGAAAGGCATCTTCCCAAGGTTGGGATGCTGGGACCACCCAAGAACTGCCCAGCCCCACGGTGACAACCAGAGGGCCGTTTCACCTGAACCCTGTTCCACTCCCTATAAAACGGCCCCAAGTCTCCATGGCAGCCTCTGTAGCAACACAATAAATGGTTTGTAAAGTCGACAACTGTCTCCATTACAAGTACAGTTGTATGATGCCATGCCCATCATCTGTTACATCCAAGGACAGAGTGGATGGTGGAAATATTATGCTAAAATATGGAGAGCAGATATTTTTGTATGTAGTATACACAGTATACCGAAACACTGAGAGATGTATTGGAACAAGTACATTTTGAAATTAAAGCGTGAAAAGCTGTAGGTTTTCAATGTACAGACACCTCACTCAAAAATGTCTACACTGATGGGACAAACACCGTGCTGGAGCGTCTGCAAACATGCTGACTTCAGCCTTCTGGCCTGGGAATGACGTGGCTCCTGTTGCCATTGTTGCTGTAACAGCTGGAACATTTCGATCATCTTCCTCTTCGTGATTTTTTTGGATGTTTTCCTTTTCTTTGTCTGGAAATATTTCAGAAATAAAGTGACTTCATTTTTCAGCATAAAGGTACCTTCTAACCACAGGATAACTTATCATTTTTAACATGAAAATAAACATTTAAACATTTTTCACTTGTTTCATGATTTTATCCACACAGTCCTCTTTTTGATTTCACCATCTGCATGACCTGACTACTATATTTATGTCCTTTTTCCTTTTCAGCCAGAGGTTTTAACACCCTTGATTCAGTAATAAATGGAATTAATAAACAGAAGCCAAAAGAAAAACATTTGTTTAAAGCTGTGAAGACCTTCTACCTGAAGAGCCTTCTCACCTGTCCTGCCAACAGGCTCAGGCAGGGGCTCGCGGCTTCTTGCTGCCCTGCCAAGGGCCATGCCATCTCTCAGCTCGGAGCTGACTGCCTCATGCAGTGCCTCTTGACAGCCCCTGACCACTGTCTCTCAGCCTTTCCTTGTTCCTGTTTCCCTGGTAATGTGTCCAGATGCAGGGACATGGCTTGTGTGGGGTCAAGGGCCCAGAACAGGCAGAGCTCCAAAGACATACAAAAGTTCCAGATGGTTGGGATTAGGCTTGGGTCTTGGAAAGGTGGACCTTTCAGCTGGGAGGCTGGTGACCATATCGCCCCCCATGTCTTCACAGGTGCTCTGCTAGTTAGTTCTTCTGGAATGGCTCGCATCATCTTTGGTGTTTTGGCAAGTGTCACCCCCTGCTTTTAGAATGGAAAGAGATGTCTCTGGCAGTAGATTGATATATGCTACATGCCCCATGCCAAGCCTGGTCTCTCTTCAGGCCCTCCAGACAGCCTTTAGGTAACTGGGTTAAGCATAGCC